AGAGAGACAGAGACAGAGCGCAAAAGAAGGAGGGGCAGAGAGTGACACACAGAATCCGAAGCAGGCTTCAGGCTCTGAGCTGTCAGAACCCACGGACCGTGAGATCATGACCTGAGCTGAAGCTGGACACTTAACTGACTGAGCCACCCAGGCGCCCCTATTTTGAGAGAGTTTTAATACGTCATTTCTTTTACTGAGAAACATTTTTCTTGGGTTTATACAAACTGCTATTTTCATATGTTTTAATTATGTTTTGTGGTCTCGAGAGAGACTTTAGGTATATTTGGGCATTGATGGTAGAAAGAAGGGCTGGATTGTCTGCTGATGCATTGGGTACAAGACACCCATTGGGTACAAGACAGAGGGTGCACTGGTAGCCCTGGCAGAGGCAGTGTGGGGGCCTGGCTGTTCCTGGGAAGCCTTACGTGGCCTGCAGGGATGGCACCCCTGCCCTGAGTGGGAACCTCAGAAGCCCTAGGACCCACCTTAGAGCAGGGAGCAGAGGCGGTACCCTCAGGGACTCCTCCTCCAAGGTGGCCACCCAGAGTAGCAGGGATGACTAGTCCATACTGAGGAGGAGCCCCTAGCAAGGCTTCCTTGAAGATACCACGAGAGAACTCTGCCCGTGGCCAGAATGCTACGGTCCACGGGGAGCTCATGAGACTGTTTTACGTTGGCAACGACGGGATTCAGTACAGGGCTTTGGACTCTTACAATGCATCATGATTTGGAGAAATTGTACAAATACCTATTTTTATACCATTATCTTGGGCTAAAATCAACAGGATTGTGAGTTGAAGATAAGTTTTAACAAGTAGCTTTCATGACTGAGAGGGAAAAAGTGTGTATTTCACATATTTACATATGAATCGACTCCTACATGGTCTAATTCAGTGTGGTCAAGTAGAATTTTCTGCAGTGATGGAAATGTTCTATATCTGGGCTGTCCAAATGTAGTGACGACCAGATACATGTGCTTTTTGACTACTTCAATAATGACTGGTGTAACAGGAATTTTTAATTAATTAAGAATTTTTAATTAAATTTAATTTTAGATTGCCACAGGTGGCTACCATATTGGACACACATGTCTAGCCAGTTGGGATTTTTGGGACAAAATGAAGGGTGATTTTTATTTTCTCTTATCAGAAGGGTTACTATGACACCCTCCATATTTTGTCTTGATAGGTTTAAACATAATTCCAAGTATTTTATCCTCAACATGCAAAACAGGTAGAGCATTCTAGAACCACATGGTAACACTTCAGTGGAGGATTGCCTCAAGTTAAAAACAAACTCTGAAAGGTAGGTTAAGAGATGAAAAGAATAGTAGAATGAGAAATCACTTCAAGTGAACCTCAAACAATTGTATTTTTCTTTTTAACTCCCTAAAAATGGGACTGAAATGTATTAATTGTACTACTCCAATGAGTTTGAAATTTTGTTTCGTGCCAAGGTATGTTATAGATAGCCAAGTAGAAAATAAATCTTAACAGAGAGCAAATATGAGCTTTCAGGCAAATTGGCCATGACTTCTGTAAAGTTTATTTCAATAAAACCAGTCTTTTATGCAAAAACCTTGTGTGCTGTTGCATACAGAGAAAGGAAAAAGTACTGCATCCGCATAGAATTATTTCATGTTACATAATATCCCAAGCCAAACATATTGTTTGAATATGATGTTTGTAAAGACACTATTTAATCTATTCATATAAGTTAAAAATGGAGGAAGATTATAATGTAGAATATGGATCTTAGTGGAAATACCCTAGAGACTTGAAAATTTTATGTGATGCATATGGACTGATTCATAGTTTGGAAAAGGAATTTCCATTGCAGGGTATATGTATGAGCAGTAAAGCCATGTGAATAGGGGATAAGATGTGCTTCTTAGAAGAAAAATGTTCTCGGGGCGCCTGGGTGGCTTAGTCGGTTAAGCGTCCGACTTTCGCTTAGGTCATGATCTCGCGGTTCGTGGGTTCGAGCCCCACGTCGGTCTCTGTGCTGACTGCCAGCTCGGAGCCTGGAGCCTGTTTCAGTCTGTGACTCCCTCTCTCTCTGACCCTCCCCTGCTCACACTGTCTCTCTCTCTCTCTCCTAGAAATAAATAAAAAAAAAAACATTAAAAAAAAAATTTAGAAGAAAAATGTTCTGGCTCCAAAAGCTTATTAGTATAACCTGTTTTTCATACAATGGACATTAAAGGGGTAAAGATGCTCAGGTGAGCTCATTCGGTAGTGCATTTTAATTACTAGCAAGGTCCGCATCACATTTCTTTAAAAAATTTTTTAAAATATTTATTTATTTTTGAGAGAGAGAAAGAGAGAGAGAGAGAGCAAGCAGGAGAGTGGCAGAGAGAGGGAGACAGAATCGAAAGCAGGGTCAAGGCCCTGAGCTGTCAGCCCAGAGCCTGACGCAGGGCTTGAATTTGGGAACAGTGAGATCATGACTTAGGCCCAAGTCAGATGCTTAACTGATTGTGCCAGCGAGGTGCCCCCGCATCACATTTCTTGACTCGAGCTTTCTATAATGACTGTTTGGTGTGCTTGCTAAACTCCAGTTTAAGGTAACTTCGTGATGATGGCAAACAGAAAGGTCCAGAAATCAGTTACTGTCTTTCCTTCTCTGCGTCCTTTCCTTCCCACGTCAATGCATCTCTTGAATCTCTCTCACTACTTCTGAGCTGGAAGGAAAATATACTTCGAGGTACTGTTCTGTGGTGAATGTAGGTTCAGTCGATTCTAATTTCCTGTGTCCTAATTCTGCTCCTTTCCTGATACATAGGGACAGCACATAGTTTCCCCTGCCCTACTTGTCAGTACCAATATTTGCTATCAGAGTAACTTTTGATCACGGAACAACATTTCTTAGGATTTTAAAGTATTTTCCAATTCTTTCTGGAAATTAAAGTTCTTGACTCTAGGCTTCAGCGAGCTTACAAATTGTTCCACATCCGCTTCCCTTAATGTCCCAAATATCTAAGTGTTCTACCATTTTCTAGTTTGTTTTCCTTACTGACACACCCCAAATCATTCCACCCATCCCCACCTATCTTTGGATACAGTAGAGTCTTTCTGGGGGCGGGGGGGTATCGGCGTGTGTTTCCCACCTCCATGTGTCTGCCGTCTCTTTATTGTGCAAACGTGAACTCACACACACATGCATGTTCCAGACTCTTCTGCAGTCTGGACACTGGGACATAGGGAGCCAGGACACTCTCAATAAATAAATAAACATTAAAATAAGTCTTTATATATTTTTAAAGTTTTATTTATTTTAGAAAGGGGGAGAGGGAGAATAAGAGAGAGCATGAGCAAGTGGAGGAGGGGCAGAGAGAGAGGGGACAGAGGATCCGAAGCAGGTTCTGTGCTGACAGCAGAGAGCCTGATGCAGGGCTCAAACCCATAAACCATGAGATCATGACTTGAGCTGAAGCTAGGGGCTTAACTGACTGAGCCACCCAGGTGCCCCAAGAAGACAATTTCTAAGGCTGAATCCATCTTAAATATTTTATGATTTGCCTTCCACTAAGAACCACCTTTAAAAATTTTTTAAGCTTATTTATTTTGAGACAGAATGAGTGGGGGTAGGGAAGAGAGAGAGAGAAAGAGAGAGAGAGAGAATACCAAGCAGGCTCTGCACCGTCAGCACAAAGCCTGATGCAGGGCTTGAACTCATAAAACCATGAGATCATGACCTGAGCCAAACCTGAGAGATGGATGCTTAAGCAACTGAGCCACCCAGGCACCCTAGAACCCTTTTTATATCAATGACCCAGCATGTCCCTCCTGCCTCACTGGTCACTCAGCTGCCAACTGTTTATGGGTTACTGGGCACGCTTGTTCCTTAGGCATGTGTTTGTAACTGTCTTGTCCACGATTACATTTTAAGTTTCTGGAGTCCGCCGAATAGGTATATAGACTGTGCTCCAATATTTGAAAACAAATAGCAAGCATTTTAAGAATTTACCTACACATTTGTTTTGTGTTCTCAACACTTCTTTCTGTCTGTGCTGAGATGTACAAATATTATTCCTGATATTGCCTTGAAAGGGTAAGTTTGCTGGGGCACCTGGGTGGCTCAGTTGGTTAAGCGTCTGACTTCGGCTCAGGTCATGATCTCACTGTTTGTGAGTTCGAGCCTGCATCAGGCTCTGTGCTGACAACTCAGAGCCTGGAGCCTGTTTCATATTCTGTGTCTCTCTCCCTCTCAGCCCCTCCTGTTTACACACACACACTCTCTCTCAAAAATAAAAGATAAGCATTGAAAAAAATAAAAAGAGATCTTGCTTCAAAAAAAAGAGTAAGCTTGCATCATAAAAAATTGCATTTTATAGAAATCCAAGTCAAAGATACAGTAAGAGATCACCTCACAACCATTGGTATAGCTATTATAAACCACCACCACCACAACAACCAAGAAAATAAGTGTTGGTGAGGATATGGAGAAGTTGGAACCATTGTCCCTGTTGGTGAGAGTATAAAATGGTGTAATCGCTATGGAGAATAGCATGGCAGTTCCTCAAAAAATTAAAAATAGAATTATTGTATGATCCAGCATTTCCACTTCTGAGTATGTATCCAAGAGTTGAAAGCAAGGTCTCAGAGAGATAATGATCACTTGTATTTCTAGCAGCACTACTCACAATAGCCAAGAGGGGGAAGCCACCCCTCTTGTGTAGATGAATGGATAAACAAAATGTGGTATATACAAACCATGGAATGTTATTCAGTCTTAAAAAGGAAGGAAATCCTTCCCATGCTACAACATGGAGGAACTGTGAGGATATTATGCTAAGTGAAATAAACCAGCGACAAGAAGACAAATACTGTATGAGTCAACCTAGATGAGGTCCTTAGGGTAGTCATATTCACAGAGACAGAAAGAAGAATGGTGGTTAGTACAGACTCGGGGGAGGGAGAAAATGGGGAGTTGTTGTTTAATGGGTGTAGAGTTCTAAAAATGAAAAAGTCAATGAGAAACTGAGCACATGCTCCAAGTGGGTGTATATTTGTTTATTTACACATTGTGTCCGAGTCCCAGTCTACTAATACATCAACACACATCATAAGCCACACAACAAGAATTAGTAAAGTACAAAGAAACATTAAATGGAGTTTGAAGGCTCTATCTCCAACCTGGGTGGATGGTCCTGCCTTGGCCCTGAGCTGTGGACCCTCCTGTGGACACCACCGCTTTGAGACCCAGGTTTTCAGCCTAACGAAAACCACAGCAAGTGCCTCCACAGACTGATGTCACAGGGTCTGGGCAAGCTTCTCTGGAGAGAGGACCCATGGGTCTCATGAGATTTCCGGATGGTTCTGTGAGCTATAACGGTTTCTGTCTACAGAGAATGAGTGGAATTTCAGGTCTTTTAAACAACATTTAATTGAGGCAAAATTAACATTAAATTAACCATTAAAACTCACATGAAATCAACCATTTTAAAATGAACAACTCGATGGCATTTACCCCATTGTACTACATTCACAGTGTTGTACCACCGCCTCCTCCATCTTGTGCCAAACATTTTCATCACCATTCACCACCTCCTCCCACCCAAGAAAAGCCCCGTACAGATTAATCCCCTTCCCCGCAGCCCCTGGCAGTCACCAATCTGCCCCTTGTCTCCGTATTGACCTATTCTGGAAATTTCCTCTCCGTGGGATCATCATACATGACTTTGAACTTGGCATCAAGTTGAGATCCACTGAATAATCTCTACGATAATCACCACCACAATGACTAGAATGATGCAACAGCAGCAAACATTCCAATACCTGTGCCTGGGATTTGGGGCTATGTGGGAATAGAGCCTCTCATTCCAGGGAGTGACCTGGACTTGTCTCTCCACGTGGTGGTAGGTGTTTGTTCTCGGGCTCCAGTGGGTGGGAAGGCTTGAAGGCTGCGTGGACCCTGAGTACCAGGGTCTGGGTAAGTCCCTCCCCCTGTTGGCCTCGGTGCTCCCCTCTCTGGGTAAATCCCTCCCCCTGTTGGCCTTGGTGCTCCCCTCTCTGGGTAAGTCCCTCCCCCTGTCGGCCTCGGTGCTCCCCTCTCTGGGTAAATCCCTCCCCCTGTTGGCCTCGGTGTTCACTGTGTCCACTCTGATGCCACCCGCTGTGGGCATGGGAATGGTGGGCCTGAAAGTAGATGGGCTGATGGGGGCAAGTGCCAGGGACACTGGTGCCTGGGTGGCTGGACCCACCCCACTCTGAGCACAAAAGCCCTGCAGACACGCCTCACAGTTGTTACTGTCATGCGGCCCCTCAAGAGAGATTTCCTTGATTGTAGGAATCTCCTCCATGGACTTAAATCCTTCTCTGTAGCATTTCTTCAGAATTCGGAACACCAGGTTATTCAGGATCCTTGAGATGTTCTCTTTGGTGAACTCGGGAACCTCAAATGGAGACTGATAGCACTTCCGACATCTCTGGGCAAAGACCCTCATCTTCACCTTGCCCCTGGGTTTCTCCTTACTCTTGTGCATGTGGAAAAGGACCTGAACTTGGGAAGAGGCCCAACTACGAGAGCACAGGGAGCACTGGAACCTGCAGAGACAGAAGATAGACCCTCAGCTTGGCCTGAGATGGCTGAGTCAGGGGCTGGGCCAGAGGGAAGAGGGGGAGCCTAACAACAGACGGACATGGCTCGACTGGGGTGTGGTTAGTGGGGAAAGAAATCAGTGAGCCCCTCGTTCCTGTCCCCACTGTGTCGCCAGCATGCCTTGGGGCCCACTGGTGTCTGTCATGAAAATAGTTAATCACAAGGTGTCTGCACTGGGGGAGATCTTCTAAGTCCAACTCGATCATGCTGGAGCCCAGGCACATAATCACGTGTGGAGACTCAGTAGGTGTAAGAAGCAGGACTAGACCTCCAGGCTACTGACCCCAAACCATGGCTTCTTCACATGTAGAATGAAGTGGGTCAAAAAGCTACAGGTGCAACAGCAGCCATTAAATCAGCCCCCAAGAACCCTGATCTGAAATCCACCAATGGTACAAATGGGTATTGGTTAAGTGCTACCATCTGAAAGTTTATGTCTCCCCTCTATTCACATGCTGAAATCCTAAAGGTGACGGATGATGTTAGGAGTCTTTTGGGATGTGATTAGGTCACGAGGGTGGAGCCCAGGCGAATGGGATTAGTGCTCTGATCAAATAGATCCCATAGGGCTCCCCAGCTCCTCCCACCATGTGAGGATACAACAGGAAGTCTGCAACCCAGAGGAGGGCTCTCCCCAGACCAGCTGGCACCCTAACCTTGGACTTCCAGCCCTTAGAACTAAGCAATGCATGTCTGTTGTATATAAGATGCCCAGTTTGTTTTTTTTAATTAAATTTTTTTTTAACATTTATTTATTTTTGAGAGACAGAGAGAGACAGAGCATGAGCAGGGGAGGGGCAGAAAGACAGGGAGACACAGAATGTGAAGCAGACTCCAGGCTCTGAGCTGTCAGCACAGAGCCTGATGTGGAGCTCGAACCCACGAACCACAAGATCATGACCTGAGCCGAAGCCTGATGCTTAACCGACTGAACCACCCAGGCACCCCTGTTGTTGTTGTTGTTTGTTTTGATTTTTACTAGCCGCCCAGACAAAGACTATAAGTCATAGACCACAGATCAGGGAGGGGCCAGTGTCTTAGGATAAGCATTGCTCTGCCCTGTTGCCCGGGGCCCCTGATCTGCCAGTATTACAGGAGATCACAGGGTCCAGCTGTCTCTCCCTTTACACCCCTCCAGCCCAACTGGGTTCTGTGTGTGCCTGGCCTCAGGGTACAAAAGAATGGCACCTCTCTCCCCAGGGAAGAGGGCAGTTTCCTGAGCTCAGATATTTGGACGATGCATGTCAGGAGAGATGGAGGCAGGGGAAGAAGACAGGGGAGCACCTGGCTGCACCCAGGACAGCAATTACGGGAGACACAGAAGCCGCATACGGCAGGGCTGTCTCATGCTCTTCCGATTATTCTGCACTCTCTCCCACTTCCCAGCCCCCTCACAGTTAGGGTGGGCAATGTGACCGGCTGCCCAATGGGATGTGGGCAGTGACATGTGCCACTTCCAAATCTAGTGCTGTAGCTCTTGGAACACCCTCCAGCTCTTCTTCCTCTGCCTCAGTGACCTTGGGACCACGCATCAGGTAAAATCACTGGTATTTTGTAGTTTATGTGTTATAGCAGCCAAGCCTCGCCTTATCTGGCTTGATGCAGGGGCTCTTAAAGTCTTGGGGGGGGGGTTCGTTGGAGGGGGCTGGGAAGAACGAGTCAGTCAAGGTTTCCTTCCTGAGTCTGGATCACGGCCTCACCTCACAGGGTGAACATGACAATGAAATGAAGGGAAGATCCCCAGAGGCTCTCAGCACTGGGATTCAGAGTCAGTGGTACACGGGGACCTGGACTCTGCTCTCCTGGGCTGCTGTCCCCTGTCCTTCCCTCTGGGTCATGCTGCTCTGCTCATGTGCCAGCTCAGGGTTCAAGGTTCTCACAAAAAGAAATTAAAAAAAGAGCTGAGATTTTGCTCGGATGCTCCTGGCCTGGGAAAGCCATGGGCCATCAGCAGAAGAGAGCTCCGTTTCCTCTGCCCAGACCCTGCTCCGAAGAGGAGGGCAGTGGGAGGGAACTGAGCCCCTGCCCCAGCCCCAGGAGGGAGTCCCAGGCTCCCACCCTCTGTGCAGGTAGGCAACCCCACCCACCGACCCTTGGAGCTTTGCCTTCCCTCCCAGAAAAAAGGGTGAGGCTTTAGATGGACTTCTGAAGATCTTAGTTTAAAAGGGTCCATCTGCCTGGAGTAGAAGACAAGATTGCTGCATGTTCCTCAGTTTCCCCTGTCCTCTGCCCTCTCCCGGAGGGCCCTCCTCAGCCCAGGGGCCTCTCCCTCCTAGGCTCTGTAGTGAGCCCCAGGTCCCCCGAGGCACGGAGCGAATGCAGGGAATGTTGCTCACGCAGTTTTCCTCACTGCTACCCAACCCCTCAAATCAGATTCATTGTAATGAGGAAAAAGCCTTCACCAAAGCTACAGCTTCTTGGATGATGGGCTCCTTACTTCCTGGAGGGCTCAATCTGCAAGCACAGAATGGAATAAGAAAAGTAGCAAGTAGGGGCGCCTGGGTGGCTCAGTCGGTTAAGTGTCTGATCTCCTTCCTGAGTCCAAGTCCTGCCCGCATCGAGCTCTGTGCTGCCAGCTCAGAGCCTGGAGCCTGCTTCAGATTCTGTGTTTTGCTTAGTCTCTGCCCCTCCCCTGCTTGAGCTTTGTCTTTCTCTCTCTCTCAAAAATAAATAAACATTAAAAGATTTTTTTTAAAAAGTACCAAGTATACAGAGCAACAAATAAACAAGAATTTTCTGGAAAACATCCCATCCCATTCCCCACTCACCTGGCGAAGGCCCACTGCTGGTACTGGGACCACCCTGGCTGCAGGGTGTTGGGAAGAAGGCCTCTGTCTAGTGTCAAGGTCCATCTGTGCCATGGCTTCACCTCCTGAATTAATTCCTGAAACACCTGCTTCCACACCTCCAGGTCCTCGGCCATGGCCGTTGCTGTGGTGAGCTGGGTATGTCAGGATCTCCTAGACTCTGACGTTATCTAGAAGCAGGACGCAAGGCTTCTGGCTTTAGAGAGCAAGGGCTGGGGCCCACTCTCCCTTTGTGGACCTGAACCAGTCCCGTGCACCAGCTCTTTGCCTCAAGGTCAGAGGTCAGCTGAATCTGGCTTCCAGTTCAGAGACCAGCGCCAGCCTCCACAGGGAATTTCGAAAGACATGGCCTGCATGGTTTCAGCCAATAAAACATAACCGAAGGCAGGCCTGGGGCTTGGTGTTGCGGGGAGTGGAACTCCGTCCGGCACTGAATACTTGCCCCTTCACCAGGAATGGAGAAAGGCTGCCCGGGTTTTTTTCTCGTTCTAGCACTTGAAAGTCCTTATCCATTGGGCTGCCGTGCTCATGACTGGGGAGGAGGGGTGCAAAGAAGAGGCCCGTGGCCATTGTGCCCTACCCCGGCTCCCTGTGTCCCTTCTCTCTGCTTCCTGTTTGTGTGGGTGTCCGTATGACCAGATTTCACAGCCCCCAAGCTGTCCAAGGAGACTCCTGAGCCTCATCTCCCCCCGCCCCCACCATTAGAAGACAAGCTGATGCACCCTGTGTGTCCAGATGAGCCTGCAAGTTCTCCATGTGGGTGAGAGGCCAGTGGACTGACCCCACTTCCTGGAGGAGGAGCTTGAAAAGGAAGGATAGAGGAACAGGGGGCAGGCAACAGCCCAGGGAGGGTGGGCAAGATTCTGGGTGTCTGCCTGACACCACCCCCTCCTCGGACAGACTGGCACTGACCTGTGTCACTGACTCCCTCCCAAGAGAAAAGCCCCAGCCTCGGCGGCCCTCCAGCGTGGTCTCCGCCTCAGCCTCTCCGCCCATACGAGCCTCTGTCCTGGTGTCCGTCACCTCCCCCCCCCCCCCACGTTGTCCTGCAATTCTCCACACTGCAGCTGGGGGAGGGGTGGACCCCCGCTTGCACAGTGCACGTTAGCATGGTACTGGACCCCTCACAGGCCACCCTTAGCCCTGCCCGGCCCGTCTCCACCCCAACATCCTAAGCCACAGCCCCTTGCTTCATGCCACCCTCTTACCCTCCTGCTGCCCCAGCCCCGTGTCCTGTGCTCACATCCGCCCCACGCAGAGCACCGGCCTTTACTCACATGGCTTCCGCCCCGTGTCCAGTTCCAAGGTCCCACAGCGCATGCTCCGTGTTCCACACCACCTCTCACCCCTCTCCATCCGCACCAGCCTCCTAGCTGCACCTGAGAAAGCAATCTCACCCATCGATAGTTGTATAAATGCAAATGCGTATCTGCAGCACAGAGGAGATCAGAGGGCACTGAGGCAAGAGCCTGTCTTAGCTTTCTAGTCTGGTGTGAGATCTTGTGTGAAATGTTATAGGTGGTTCTGTGTTGTTAAAATTACCCTTGACAGCAAATGTGCAAGGAGGCCTTGAAGATCTCAGTCTTGAAGTCTCAGTGTTTCTATGTCATGTAAAGATTATCGTTAGCCCTTTGTTCTCCTAAGAATATTCTATTTTTAATTTTTTCTATTTTATTTTTTAATTAAAAAAACTTTAAATGTTCTTTTTATTTATTTTGTGAGAGAAAGCACAAGCGAGCACAAGCAGGGGAGGGGCAGAGAGAGAGAGGGAGAGACAGAATCCCAAGCAGACTCTGCAATGTCAGCACACAGCCCGACGTGGGGCTCGAACTCACGAATGGTGAGATCATGACCAGAGCTGAAATCAAGAGTCAGAGGCTTTACCAACTGAGCCACCCAGGCGCCCCAGAATATTCTTTTTAAATGTTTTTTAATTTTGAGACAGAAAGAGCGCGGGAGCGCAAGTCAGGAAAGGCAGAGAGAGAGGGAAACAGAGGATCCGAAGCGGGCTCCACACTGACAGCAGAGAGCCTGATGCAAGGCTCAAATACACGAATCATGAGATCAAGATATGAGCCGAAGTCAGGTGCTTAACCCACTAAGCTACCCAGCCGCCCCATCTACTAAGAATCTTTTAATTGGAAAATTCTGCATTCTTAAATGATGTAAGTATTTGAACACAAGCACTTAAGAATGTGAGAAAGTCTGCCACGTTTACATTAACATAGGCTAAATGTCTTCCCTCTATCATGAGTAACATCATTTACCTGATCTTCCAGAGACTTCTGAGTTTCTGGGGTTGGTGGGGGGGATGTCAAGGCCTGGGAAAAGGCACATAAGCTCAGCAGGCCTGAAGATAGTCAGCGATTCACATTCCTCAGACCAGCCCCGAAGGTCTCGCTGAATTGGTCTGGGCATCAGATTTCTAAAAACTCCTCAAGCGATTCCAAGGCCTGGTTATGGTGGAGACAGGGAGGCTGAAAGGGAAAACAGGGCAGGTCCTGGTCAGCAATCAGAGTCAGAGCCAGAGGTGTTCCCCCACTCCCAGTGCTGTGCACCAATCAACCAGGCTTACAGATGCTATTTTTGGGGAATCAGTCCTAAGATGGTCCAGTAGCAACCACCAGCAGGGTGTGGAGAAGGCAGAGGGTAGTGTGGGAGAGAAGAAGGGTGGGAGGGGCGAGGCGGGATGGGGTTGCTGGAGTTGAGGTCCCCTGCAGGGAAGGGCTTCCGGTTACAGATTGGAGAGTGAAGCTCGGGATTAACAGGCCCCCTTGATATTCATCCCACTCTGGCGGGAAGCCGAGCCTCTCCAGTTCCAGTAAATTGTCCTGAAGCAGAACGAACATTCTGAAGATATGCACATTCCACAAAATAACAAAATTTTTCTGCAGTAAATTTTTTTTTTAATGAAAGTGAGCACTATTAGGATTAAACAAAGAGGATTTAACTATGTTCTTGGCTGGTTGGAGAGAGAATAAAACACTGCTTAGAGAGTGAAAGGTATTTTATGGTGTTTTCGTCCCCAGCTAGAGAACTGGGGACTTGCCATGACTTCACCACCAAACCCCCCAGCTCACCTCCTAATGGCTCCTGGAAAGCCAGTCCAGTTTAATTTCTATATATTTCATTCCATCCTAGTTTAAATCATTTTGAGCCCACAGTCACTATTGTTGTCCTAAATACAGCTAAAATATCCCTGTTTTAACCATATTTTAAGAAAACAGGTGTGAGTACATATCTTTAGACCATTCATATCTGTCCATTGTGGCTTCTAAGACCGTGACTCATTTTTTTCAAAAATGTTTTATGAAATTTACAGACAGGAGAATGGATAAGACATATATACGAGCATAATGAGTAATTATAAAGCAAATACTTGTAATAAATACCACCAAGTTCAAAAAATAGAATAATATTAGGAAGTGTTATGTGAAATTGAATCAGGAAGCCATGAAGGGAGAGCTCTCATGCACACCACTCCTCATAGCTTACCTCGTTCCAGCAGGAGGAAGGAAGATCTTTTTGCCCAGAAATGGCAAGCACAGCCAATGAGAGGCCACCAGTGAACACTTAAAAAATATTTATTTATTTTTAAGAAAGAGAGGAAGAGAGCACATGGTGGGGAGGGAGGAGCAGAGAGAGAATCCCAAGCAGGTATCAGGCTCAGGACACAGTCTGACACAGGGCTTGATCCCGTGACCCTGGGATCATGACCTGAGCCCAAATCAAGAGTCAGAGGCACAACCAACTGAGCCACGCAGGCACCCTGTTTTGGTTCTGTTAATTAAGTGGGGAGGCTGTTAGACTGAGGTGGCTCATTGCCTTGGTAGCATATATAAGCAAACCAAAAACTCAGTCAGAGTCAATGCATTAGAAACTGAGAAAAATGAAACTTTAGAATAATGCATCACAGCCAACCAAACTTTCCCTAAATAAGGCCACCGCTTAAGCTATAGACAATCAAATAATTTCTTTGCTTAGCTTCTCAGACTTCTCTCTAAAAACCTCTCCCCTAGCTCTTGTGGGTGGAGCCCACTTAGCCACTTTGCATTCGGAGCTGCCTGATTTGAATAGGCTGAAAGAAATTCTTGACAAATATTAATATACCTCAGTTTATCTTTCATCCCTTATTTTACTCAATAGTATATACGTGGGATTCATCCATACTGTTCCATTCCATTCTTGATCTTGTATATTCCATTGAATGAAAACGACAATATATTTTCCCACACTGCTGTTGTTGCCTGTGTGGTTTGTTTCCAGCTTTTGCTTATTATGAATAATGAGACTATCCGTATATTTAGACATATCTTTTTTGTCCCTTTCTATGCCTTTTTGGTGGACATACAACTAAGAGTAGAAGTCCTTGGTTATAGAGTATGCATATGTTAGCCCTCAGTACAGGGTTTATGAGTATTTCAATTGCATCAGTACTCATCAACACTTGATATTGTTATTATTAAAAATTTTTCCCCACATTTATTTATTTTTGAGAGACAGAGTGAGACAGAGAGTAAATGGGGGAGAGGCAGAAAGAGAGGAGGGACACAGATCTGAAGCAGGCTCCAGGCTCTGAGCTGTCACCACAGAGCCCGACACAGGGCTTGAACTCACAAACATTGAGATCATGACCTGAGCCGAAGTCGGCCGCTTAACTGACTGAGCCACCCAGGTGCCCCTGATATTATTACTTTAAAATGTAACATTTCTAGTGGATGTAGAAATATCTATGATTTAAATTTATGTTTTCCTGATTATTGTTGAAAATCGAGTATCTTTTCATAAAGTTGATTGACAATTTGGATATTCTTATTCTGAAGTACTTGGTCAAGTCTTTTTTTCATTCTTTTAAAAATTTAAAGCAATTTTTTAAAATGTTTATTTACTTTGAGAAAGAGACAGGGAGCAAGCAGAGGAGGGGCAGCAACAGAGAGAGAGAAAGAGAGAGAGAATCTCAAGCAGACGCTGCGCTGATAGCACTATCTGAGCTGACAGTGCAGAGCCCGACCCGGGGCTTGATCTCACCAACCATGAAATCATGACCTGAGCCAACTCAAGAGTCAGGCACTTAATCAACTGAGCCATCCAGGCTCCCCTTTTTCTTCAGTTTGAAAACTGAATGGTTTAACTTTATTTTATTTTTTTGATTTGTTGGAATTAAAAAATACATATATCTTCCATATTGGTTCTTTTTCAGCTCCATGTGTGACAAATACATGTTTCATCTTTCTACTTAGGAGATCTTGATAATAATAAACTTAAATAGAATAAATACACATTACCTAAAATAAATAAAATAAAAAAATAAAGGAAATGAACAGCTTGGCTAAAATTATAAAACATTACAATTAACATCTTAATGTTTCTATAATTATTAAAGAAAGCCACAAAAACTGGGTCTAGGTTATGTGATCCAGCTACGTCTTCTAGTTGAGTTCTATAAATCATTCAAGGAAAAGATCATTCCAACCTTACACAATGTTTTTTTACATATATAGAAAAAGAAGTCATACTTGAGAACTCATTTTATTAGTGCACTATAACCTTGATTAAAAAAAACAATCAAAAAGACAAATTGTAGGCCATGTCGCCAAGAACTTAACATATATATATTTAAAAAGAACAACACCCCATATACAATAACAAAAAATCCAACAAAGTCAATCTTGCAGTGTATTGTAAAATGCATCTTAACCAACTTGAATTTATGCTAGGAATGCAAGAATGTCTTAATAGAAAATTATTATTGTAATTCACCCAATTGATATATAATATTCAAAATAGTATAAAATAAAATAATGATATTTGGCAAAATCCAACATCCATGTAAGACAAAAAGAAAAAAAATCTTAGCAAACTAGGAATAGAAGGGAATTGCTTTGTTTGATAGAACATCTAATAAAACTCAACAGCAAAATCATTTTATAAGCTGAAACAATAGAAGTTTACCCTTAAACATCAGAAATGAGACAAGGGTACCTGCCATCATTTAACATGTGAAATTCTATTCCACATTGTAATAGAGGCTCTAGGCAGCCCAATAAGTTGTTAAAAAAATGGTTCTAGGAATTAGGCAGGGAGAAAGAAAAACTGCCGATATTTACAGACAGTATGATTGTTTACATAGGGAAAAAAAATCCCCAATGAATTTATAGATAAATGATAAGAATTATTAAGAGTTCAACAAGGTTTCTACATACAGGATGCATAGACCCAAATTATGTGCATTTTTATACACCAACAACAATTAGAAAACAAAACAACAATTAGAAAACACTTTTTTAAAGTGACATTTACAACAGAAACAACAATGAAAAATTAAGGGACCTAGGAATAAATCTAACAAAAGATGTTGAAAGTTTTATGGAAAAATTCTATAATCTTATGAAAGACATTTTAGAAAAACCCAAATATTTCCCAAAGGAGATCTATGACATGTGCACAGGTCAGATAAGTCTGTATAAAAATGTCAATATTTCCCCAAATAATCTAAAAGCTCAATGCAGTTTTAATAAAAAGTCTAACAGGATTTTTCACAGAACTTGACAAGTTTGATTGAAGAATTTGTATAGAGGAAAGAGCCAAAATAACTAAGACCGTTTTAAAGAAGATCAAGTTGGGGCAGGAATTCTCCCTACTAGGTATCAACATTTAATTAAAACACACACAACTAATAAATCAAAGCAAATTGCTCACTAATTACCTAATGAAACAGAATAGACCCAGCCCAGAAATAGACCCACCCATATGTAGAGATGTGATATATGAGAGAGACAGCTCTAAAGATTATTAGGAAATGGTAGAGCTATCAATCCATTTTTCCAGGACAAGGTGCTATCCAATAAATTCAATTAGGTCCCTACCTTAATTTCCTGTAGATTAAGAACCTAAATATGAAAAGGAAAATTTCAAAACTTTTTCAAGTACATGCTTAAACAAGACACAAGAAGAAAAGCTATACATTTAACTAAACTTTTTCCCTCATGAGATGCTCCTGAACATGGAAAATAGAGGCCACAAAGCCACAAACGCATCTGAACTAAAAAAGGGTTAATCGATATATGAAGAACTTTCACAAATCAATGAGAAAAAATATAAACAACTCAATAGAAGAATGGGCAAAAGGTATGAACAGGCAATTTACAGAAGAGAAAGTATGAAAGGTTAATGAGTATCTGAAATGATATTCAACTTCACCTGTAATCCAGAGATGAAAGTTAAAGTAAAAATGAGGTAGTATCATACACATATTTGAAAAATCTAAAACATTATATACTAAGTATATATAAACATGTGGCCCAGCACGTATATGTATACATTACTGACCTTAATAGAAATTAGTACACCCACCTTGGAAAGCAGTTCAGTATTAAAGATCCACATGCCCTACTCAACTATTGGCAATTTTATTTCTATGTATGCTACCCAGAGAAACACTTAGACATGCAGCGCACAGATACAAACCAGACTGTTTATACAAATGGCATTTTAATATCAAAACAACTGAAACTCCTCCATTCCCCTTGAATAAATGAATGAATTTTTTAGAGTCACCCAACGGAAGGTTATACAGCAGTACAAATGAATGAACCAGGGGTCAGTAAATTACCACCTGTAGCCAAATCTGACCCAT